GATCAATGATACTATTTCATTCCTGGAAGTGTTCAGGTCCACTTAAATTCATGGCTGTGGCTGTTGTGGAGGCTACACTGTCCGAGATTGTGGCCTCACAGGCCAAGGTGGAGTCTGTGCAATTGCTCCCGCAGTGCCTGGGTGAATGCTTCAGTCTGAGTAGGAAGGTTAATGCAGAAACATAAGGACAGCTGGCCTCCTAAGGCACATCCTAACTAGGTCACAGGATTTGTCTGGCTGGATTGGACCCCAGCCCTGGGATCCACAGCTGAGGGCAGTGCTACAGGTTGACTGCATTCTGGCATTTGGAATCCTGTTCACAGTAGCCTTAATGCAATGCTGTATGAAACTCACTGAGCTGATCGGGTTGCAGCTAAACGGCAGAATTTAACAAATGTGACACAGATAACACATGTGGGGGTGTGCAACTTATCCTCAGTGTAGAAATAGGCTGAGACTACACTTCCCTTCAGAAGACTTATACCCGTGTATACCCACAGAAACTATTTCTAAAGGGTAAATTATAAAGCAGAATCAAAATATATATAACAGTACATTTGTTCTCTGTAAATATAATTCTAGCTTTTCTCGTGTTAAAATTATACACAAAGTTTTGTGAAGCAGCTGTCTTTGTGTATTATATAAACTGAGTTTTCTTGAAATGCCTGGATGGCTTTGGTAATTCTGTTCTCTTATTGTGTATTAAGAAATTCCTTTTATATGATAAAGACTTATGGTTTAAGCATATTCTGGCTGAGTGATATCTGGATATTTTATCTTACATATCAAAGTACAATGAATTGTCAACAACCAAATGGCTAGTATGCTTCATATTTTGTTCTGAGCACATCTTGCCATATTTTAACTGAAGTAATTAACTTCCTAAAAAGAAAACATTTAATTTTCTAACCACTGAGGGTGAGCCTTCCTGTTCAGTCTTTAGTTGAGGAAAAATGCCATTAATAAACATTTCACTTCACTTTAAGGATTACAAAACCAGTAAAGCCCATTATAAAAATTCAAACATTAGAAATATAGAGTAAAAAGTGAATGTTTTCTTTCACTTATGTACTAGTTTTCTCTCTCTTTTGCAAAATTCCAATCTCTCCAACAGATAAGCATGTATAATTTATTGTAATACTGACTTATGTTTTCCTCTTGTTGCCATTCTTCCTCTCCCAGGTAAAAAAGTCTCAAGACTGTTCCAACTCTCTTGCCTTAGGAAATGTTTATGTGGGTGAAGCAACAGAACAGGAAGAAAATGGCTGAGTGGTTTTCAGAGACCACTTGGCTTTAAGAGACCACCGTATGGATAATACTTATCTCAAGGTGAGTGAGCACTGGGTATTGGAGGGACTCCCCTGAAAATACTGCTCTATGCAAGGGGGCCCCAGACTGGCATAATTTGGAATGAGGTAAAACAGTAAAAGATAACTAAGGCTGAATATCCTATCAGCCTAATGGGTAGGGGACTAGAACTGGATGGAAGATTATCTATATAAAATATTTAGATATATCTTCTATGTGTAGATCAAACTGTGAAGACAGATTTATAACCATTACATGCACACATCCTGCTACCTCTGGTAAAACAAGTCTAGCAATACCTTCCATTTCTGTAAGTTTATTTTAAAGGTTTTTACATGTGCTATAAAACTTGATCCTCAAACACTTTTACAAAGGAGTAATCTGGGGCAGAGACTGAGATTTATTCCAGCATACCTAATTATTAAGGGCTTCCCAGGTGGTACTAGAGGTAAAGAACCCACCTGCCAACGCAGGAGACGTAAAGAGATGTGGGTTCAATCCCTGGGTCGGGAAGATCCCTTGGAGGAGGGCACAGCAACATACTCCAGTATTCTTGCCTGGAGAATCCCTTGGATAGAAGAAACTGGCGGGCTACAGTTCATAGGGTTGTAAAGAGTCGAACACAACTGAAGCAACTTAGTACACATGCACATAATTAAGTTCTAGGACAAACATTCACCAATTAAATCTAGATTCCTTTCTCTTATACTCTATTTGGTATGTATATACTCAACATATATAAGCCTGACACCCTTATCTATGATATGTACATATGCTACTCTTAGGGCAAATTGCAGCCAAAAGGGCTTTCAACATGAGAACGTGAATGATACCATGTTTATTCAAGTCAGACCATTTAAAATCTCAAGAAATTGAAGTTCATTAAAAGCTTAAGATAGTTAAAACACTGCAGAGTCTTCTCTGAGGGCATTATGGACTTTTAAGTCTCAGTCTCTCTTCTCTCCTTCTGTTCCTTCCTCAATCCCTCCCTCTTCAAATTTATAGTCTATAGCTTCAAATAAAAGGAGAATAAGGGACTTCTGCTTGTAACTAAGATAGCCAAGATGGAACAAGAGGGACCAGGTTTAGTTTTTGGCCTGAAACAACTAAGAGGCTGGGCCACATCTGTCTTTTCAGATACTGGGCACTGGTCTTACAGGATGGTCACCTTTTAGGAAGGTTTAAGCGCCCACCTTATTGTGTGAAGAGTTTTTTAGGCCACAGCGTGGAGAGGAGACTCAGAGGGAGCTGAGGGAGTCCAGAAGATCGAGAGGCCTAGAGTTACAGAACAGAGGATTAGAGAGTCGCAAGAGTGCCAGGGTTCTGCAGAAGGCCCTCTCATATCTTTAGCAGAGTGTTCACCACCAGATATGTGTAAGAAAATAAGAGCCACCTAAAAGGAACATCACTGAGGCTCAGAGAGGGCTGGGAAAGGTCTGAGTTCCCACCAGTCAGTGTGTGCAACCTCACAATCCAGTATAAGCGCGGGTCTAAAGGAAGCTAGAGGGGCTATAACAATACCACACAATGAGTATTTCAGAGCCCCCTCCCCCCAAAAAAATCTATCAGGGATAAAGATTATCATTTCATAAAGAAAAAGAGGCCAATTCATCAGAGGAACATAATCGTCTTACATGTTTATGCATTTAATAACACAGTCTCAAAATACATAAAGCAAAACCTGAAGGAATTGCCAAGTGAAACAAATTCACAGTTACAGTTGGAACTTTCAATCCTCCTCTCGCAATAATTTATAAAATAAACAGGCAGAAAATAGGTAAGGGTACAGTATATTTGAACAAAAATATCAACCAACTTGCCCTGACTGATATGTATGCCACCTAACATGAGCAGCATGTACTGTTTTCAGGGGTACACAAAACACCAAGACAGACCATATTCTGCTGCAAAGTCTTTTTTTTTTATGTTTTATTAGTTGGAGGCTAATTACTTTACAATATTGTAGTGGTTTTTGTCTTACATTGACATGAATCAGCCATGGATATACATGTATTCCCCATCCCGATCCCCCCTCCCACCTCCCTCTCCACCCGATCCCTCTGGGTCTTCCCAGTGCACCAGGTCCGAACAGCATTGAAACATGTATATTATCTAGGGTGAAACATATTCTGGGCTATAAAAAAAGTCACAATAAATCTAAAAGGTTTCAATTCATGTAAAGAATACTTCTTAACCATACATTAGAAATTAACAGCAAAGATCTTTAGAAAATTGCCAGTATATTGAAACAAAATAACACAATTTTAAACAACCCAAAGGTTAAAGAAGAAATCAAAAGGGAATTTAGAAAGATTTGACCTGAATGAAAGTGAAAACACAAAATATAAAAATCGTGGGATGCTTCTAATATAAAACTTGGAAGATTTATAGCACTAAAGGAGTATTTTAGTTGAAGAAAATAAGAGAAAATTTTAGTGACCTTGGCTTTCTTAAGATTGCCTAAATAGGACTTCAAAAGCACAGACTATAAATTTAAAAAAATGAATAAACTGGACTTCATCAAATTAAAAACTTCTGTTCTTTGAATTACACTCTAAAGAAAATAAGGCAAGCCATGGATTAAGAAAATATTGGTAAAACATCTATTTATCAAAGGATTTTTATCCAGCATATATAAACAGCTCTTACAATACAATAAGAAAAACAGCCTAATAAAATACACACGAAAGATATGAATAAAGATATCATCAAAGACTTTATGTAGATTGCAAATGAGCATATAAAAATTATTTTAAGAAAAAGCAAATTAAAAACACAAAGTGTTATACTATATACCCACTAGAATGGACAAAATTTTTTTAAAAGACAGACCATACTACGGAGTACTGACTAGGGTCCGGAGAGCAACTGGAACCCTAGGGTTGGAGCAGAGCAGCAGTCTGGGTTCAGAGAACAGGAGCCTGGATTTTAGTCTTCACTCTTGAGGCTCTGGGAAAGTCTGTATTCCTTCTATCACTATTATCAAATACCAGTAACAACTGGTTCTGCTAACTTCATCAAGCTCTAGTGATGATCAGGTGAGATAATGGGAAACCACTTTGTAAACATGGGGTCCAATGTTATTTGGGCTTCCCTGTTGGCTCAGTGGTAAAAAAATCTGCCTGCCAATGCAGGAGCTATGGGTTTGATCCCCGGGTTGGGAAGATCCCCTGGAGGAAGAAATGGCAACTTGCTCCAGTATTCTTGCTTGGAGAATCCCATAAGCATGACAAAAAGCTGGACACAACTGATCGACTGAGCATACACGCACTAATTTTATTCTTTCAAAAATAAAATAAATGTGAATACGTAAACATATTTTTAAAAAGGCAATTTAAAGAAAATGATAATGAAAACAATACCATGCTAAAATAGTTTCATGATTTCGCATTGCTGTTAAGCTAGTTTAATTATTATAAAATTTCAATATTCAATTATTTACAAGGCCTCCAAATATTTAAAAAGAATTTGACAAATAATACACCAATGTTTGCCTAAATTAATGTTTACCATTAGTAAGATCACACTACTCCCCATGGTGCTCAGTTTGTAAAAAACAAGTAAGTCAATAAACTGTTGATAAAGACATTACTTGTATATTAACTCATCAATCTTGATTTAGTCCGGTAGCTTTGTAAGAATCCATGACTTTAGTTTCTCTAGTTCTGCTTTACTTAACTCATGGTAAACACCTGGAAAACTATGAAACTTCGTGCTCACTCCCAGAGATTTTAACATTGAATTTGTCTCTTCACCCCAAGAATGAAGAACTAACTCATCTGCAGTACCATGACACTGAAATAATTCAGGAAGAACACCGTCACTTTTCTGAAGAGCCTAGAGAAGAGGATATAAACATGGAGAAGTTTAAGAAATTCATTTAAGAACAGTATATACTCTTGGAAGTCAGGGAGGGCAGAAACATCTCAATTTAACCAAAGCTTCAATATCTAAAGGGGAAAAAGTGGTAGTGGCGGCTATGCCCAAGGTAAATACTGATGGCCTAGGCTCAGGAGCCTAGCTGGCTGATGGCACTACAGGAGCTGCAGTTGTGTGGGACCTGCACTCACTCCACAGAGGGCTGTCTCAAAAAGAGTCAGAGGACTTCCTGAAGAAACCCTGTGTCTTGGGAAGACAACCCCTTTCGCAAAGAGTGGAGAGAGGGAGGAACACAAGGGAAAAATGGCATTCTTGTTCTCATTTCTGTACCTGCTGGTTCTATTCCTGGTAATGAGGCTGAATCACTGTAATATTCCATTCATAAATTAGGAATAATGCTGCAAAATAGGTGTCAGCCATGTAACTTATTCTTTGGTTTGATTAAGTCATAATTAGCAAACCGAGCTATAATTATCTATGTTTTTAATATGTATACAGGACTCATATATATTATATATGTATTTTTTATCCTTTCCCCTTTGAGACTTTGATTAACAATATTCTTTGTACAAGGCATTTCCTAAACAAGAATGACCAGCTGGAATTAATCAATATAGCTAATTTGCCCATGAATTCCCAGGAATGCTCTGTGAAGCAACCGTTATTGTGTAATTATCAATGTCATCTTACTTCCAATGTGTGTATGTCTCATTTTTTTCCTTCTGTTTTGCTTTTTAAATCTGAAACTTACCTGGTAAACAGCAGATGCTTTATTCAGAAAACTGGAAAGAGCAAATACTCCTGCCACATCTTGATGATTTCTATATGCTAAATGCATTGCCATGCACCCTCCCATAGAAAATCCTCCTAAGAGAAGCAAAAATTCACTTATCAGTAAAATCAGAATAATGAAAATTTGGAACAAGATATAGCTATGCCAATCTTCCATAAATATCTGGAGACCTAAAAGTGATACAATGCAAAAGAAAAATTTAGTCTACTTTAGATCTTATGGAAAAAGACCTGCCACGAGTAAATAATACTATTCCAACTACATCATCACTAATAAAATAATTTGCTATAAAAGGAACTAGAATTGTACAAAGAAATAAAGCTTGGTCATCAAGTAAAAATATTTTTATCATAATTCAAAATATATGAGTCATAACACAAGTGTTATTTACTTAAACGTGTAATGTCTACTTATATTTTGTTTATACTTATAGAAGTACTTATACAACAATTAATAACATGCACCTTTTTGTCTTAGTTGCCAAACTATAAGCTAGAGTTTTTCATATAACAGATGCTTAATGATCTTTGAATTAGGAAGGATGATCAAAAATTTGGTGAGCTAATTAAAACATCTTTATATTATCATATTATTTTGGAAACTAACTTGTGATGGTATAATTAAAACATATATACTTATATGTACTTTTAAAAAAGCTTGGAAAAAATTCACTGAACAAAATTTTATTGTCTTTTATGAGCCAATCACTGTCACTGGAGTGACACTAGTCACTGGAGATATGCAAATTAAAATACATGGATCCTTCTGTTCGAGGGGAAAAGAGACACATCACAAAATGTGGAGATGGGGACATGTCACGACACAGCAGAGAGGGTGGCCTAACTTAAGAGATGTGGTGTGTTATTCCCCAGCTTGACTGAGAATTAAAAGACACATCTCATGATTTAAAAGAAATCCGCATGTTATAGAGAGCAAGCCTGAAGGAACACAGTTTTTATTTTTGGAGAAATTCAAAAGCGTAAACAATACTTTTGCCAAAAGTACCTAAGCAAAATATTGAATGTGACTAGTGTGACTGAGGAACTAAATGTTAATTTAATTTTACCTAGTTAAATTTTGAGTTTAAATACTCACGTGGCTGGGGGCTATCCGAGAGGACAATGAAGTTCTAGATAACCTAAGCTGCATACCAATGACTGGGAAAAAAGCTTCAAAAATTCACAAATTGAGCAAAAATGAAATTAATGTTTTATTAAGAAAATAAGGTAGCTGAGATAATTAAGACACACCTGAGGTCAGGGGCAGCGGCTGAGTGGAGCTACCCCACCTCCAAGGAGCAGCTGCTGCGGGGCACAGGAGGGCTGAGAGGAGCTACTCCACGTTCAAGGTGAGGAGGGGCGGCCGTGAGAAGATACCCCTCGTCCAAGGTAAGGAGCCGCGGCTGCACTTTGCTGGAGCAGCCCTGAATAGATACCCCTCGTCCAAGGTAAGAGAAACCCAATAAGACAGTAGGTGTTGTGAGAGGACATCAGAGGGCAGGCGCACTAAAACCATAGTCACAGAAAACTAGCCAGTCTGATCACAGGACCACAGTCTTGTCTAACTCAATGAAACTAAGCCATGCCGTGCGGGGCCACCCAAGACGGTCGGGTCATGGTGGAGAGTTCTGACAGAATGTGGGCCACTGGAGAAGGGAATGGCAAACCACTTCAGTATTCTTGCCTGGAGAACCCCATGAACAGGATGAGAAGGCAAAATGATAGGACACTGAAAGATGAACTCCCCAGGTCAGTAGGTGCCCAATATGCTACTGGAGATCAGTGGAGAAATAACTCCAGACAGAATGAAGGGATGGAGCCAAAGCAAAAACAACACCCAGCTGTGGATGCGACTGGTGATAGAAGCAAGGTCCGATGCTGTAAAGAGCAATATTGCATAGGAACCTGTAACGATAGGTCTATGAATCAAGGCAAATCGGAAGTGGTCAAACAGGAGATGACAAGATGTCGACATTCTAGGAATCAGTGAACTAAAATGGACTGGAATAGGTGAATTTAACTCAGATGATCATTAAATCTACTACTGTGGGTAGGAATCCCTTAGAAGAAATGGAGTAGCCATCATGGTCAACAAGAGTCCGAAATGCAGTACTTGGATGCAATCTAAAAAACAACAGAATGATCTCTGTTTCCAAGGCAAACCATTCAATATCACGGTAATCCAAGCCTATGCCCCAACCAGTAACATTGAAGGAGCTGAAGTTGAATGGTTCTATGAAGACCTACAAGACCTTTTAGAACTAACACCCAAAAAAGATGTCCTTTTTATTACAGGGGACTGGAATGCAAAAGTAGGAAGTCAAGAAACACCTGGAGTAACAGGCAAATTTGGCCTTGGAGTACAGAATGAAGCAGGGCAAAGGCTAGTAGAGTTTTGCCAAGTCAGAGCAAACACCCTCTTCCAACAACACAACAGAGACTCTACACACGAACATCACCAGATGGCCAACACCGAAATCAGACTGATTATATTCTTTGCAGCCAAAGATGGAGAAGCTCTATACAGTCAGCAAAAACAAGACCAGGAGCTGACTGTGACTCAGATCATGAACTCCTTATTGCCAAATTCAGACGTAAACTGAAGAAAGTAAGGAAAACCGCTAGACCATTCAGGTATGACCTAAATCAAATCCCTTATGACTATATAGTGGAAGTGAGAAATCAATTTAAGGGACTAGATCTGATAGACAGAGAGCCTGATGAACTATGGACGGAGGTTGGTGACACTGTACAGGAGACAGGGATCAAGACCATCCCCATGGAAAAGAAATGCAAAAAGGCAAAATGGTTGTCTGAGGAGACCTACAAATAGCTGTGAAAAGAAGAGAAGCGAAAAGCAAAGGAGAGAAGGAAAGATATTTCCATCTGTATGCAGAATTGCAAAGAACAGCCAGGAGAGATAAGAAAGCCTTCCTCAGTGATCAATGCAAAGAAATAGAGGAAAACAACAGAATGGGAAAGACTAGAGATCTCTTCAAGAAAATTAGAGATACCAAGGGAACATTTCATGCAAAGACGGGTTCAATAAAGGACAGAAATGGTATGGATCTAATAGAAGCAGAAGATATCAAGAAGAGGTGGCAAGAATACACAGAAGAACTGTACAAAAAAGATCTTCATGACCCAGATAATCACAATGGTGTGATCATTCACCTAGAGCCAGACATCCTCGAATGTGAAGTCAAGTGGGCCTTAGAAAGCATCACTACAAACAAAGCTAGTGGATGTGATGGAATTCCAGTTGAGCTATTTCAAATCCTGAAAGATGATGCTGTTGAAAGTGCTGCACTCAATATGCCAGCAAATTTGGAAAACTCATCAGTGGCCACAGGGCTGGAAAAGGTCAGTTTTCATTCCAATCCCTAAGAAAGGCAATCCCAAAGAATGCTCAAACTACTGCACAATTGCACTCATCTCACATGCTAGTAAAGTAATGCTCAAAATTCTCCAAGCCAGGCTTCAGCAATACATGAACCGTGAACTTCCAGATGTTCAAGCTGGTTTTAGAATAGGCAGAGGAACCAAATATCAAATTGCAATATCCGCTGGATCATCGAAAAAGCAAGAGGGTTCCAGAAAAACATCTATTTCTGCTTTATTGACTATGCCAAAGCCTTCGACTGTGTGGATCACAATAAACTGTGGAAAATTCTGAAAGAGATGGGAATACCAGACCACCTGACCTGCCTCTTGAGAAACTTGGATGCAGGTCAGGAAGCAACAGTTAGAACTGGACATGGAATAACAGACTGGTTCCAAATAGGAAAAGGAGTACGTCAAGGATCTATATTTTCACCCTGCTTATTTAACTTATATGCAGAGTACATCATGAGAAACGCTGGGCTGGAAGAAGCACAAGCTGGAATCAAGATTGCCGGGAGAAATATCAATAACCTCAGATATGCAGATGACACCACCCTTATGACAGAAAGTGAAGAGGAACTAAAAAGCCTCTTGATGAAAGTGAAAGAGGAGAGTGAAAAAGTTGGCTTAAAGCTCAACATTCAGAAAACTAAGATCATGGCATCTGGTCCCATCACCTCATGGGAAATAGATGGGGAGACAGTGGAAACAGTGGCAGACTTTATTTTTTTGGGCTCCAAAATCACTGCAGATGGTGACTGCAGCCATGAAATTAAAAGACGCTTACTCCTTGGAAGGAAAGTTATGACCAACCTAGATAGCATATTAAAAAGCAGAGACATTACTTTGCCAACAACGGTCTGTCTGGTCAAGGCTATGGTTTTTCCAGTGGTCATGTATAGATGTGAGAGTTGGACTGTGAAGAAAACTGAGAGCCGAAAAATTGATGCTTTTGAACTGTGTAGTGTTGGAGAAGACTCTTCAGAGTCCCTTGGACTGCAAGGAGATCCAACCAGTCCATCGTAAAGGAGATCAGTCCTGGGTGTTCATTGGAAGGACTGATGCTGAAGCTGAAACCCCAGTGCTTTGGCCACCTCATGCAAAGAGTTGACTCACTGGAAAAGACCCTGATGCTGGGAGGGATTGGGGGCAGGAGGAGAAGGGGACACCAGAGGATGAGATGTCTAGATGGCATCACCGACTCGATGGGCATGAGTCTGAGTAAACTCTGGGAGTTGGTGATGGACAGGAGGCCTGGCATGCTGCGATTCATGGGGTTGCAAAGAGTCAGACACGACTGAGTGACTGAACTGAACTGGAGATATTGTGATTTAATTCTAATGTGGTAAAGATCTTAAAAAAATCATACAAAGACAAAATGCGAACAAAAATAGGTTGGTAAGCAAAAATATATTTAAAAACTATTATAAAAGCACACTACTGAGAAAATTTTACACATTAAATGCACCCAGCCCATCACTTCATTTTTATTGACTAGGGCAATCTAATCACTTCATGTGATTCAGAGTTCCTTGATGGGTCCAATCTAACAGCAACAACAAAAACTAAAAAGAAAACACTTTCCCACATATGAAATGTCATTATGAACAAAGGAATCCAGAAGACATTTAACCTCAAGTTCAATTCTTGTAATTTATAATGAAGAAAAATGTACTCACTGAAAATTATTA